AAAAAAAGGAAAAAGAGTAGTTTGTTATGATAATTAAAACTGTCTCAAGTCCATGTTGTTTGTATTCAGCACATCCAGACCTCAAGGGGATGGTCTTACATGAAGAGCTGTCCTAAACTGAAAATGTAATGGCCTAGAGTTAAATGTAGAGTTTTTGAACTGTGAAGAATAGTTGCTTCTTCAGAAAACCAGGAACACTTTCTGCAACTACTGAGATCTCTGTAATTATTAATTATGATTATAGATAATGATCATATCTACACCCTAGAAAAGAATGTATTTTTGTTTTCTTCCTCTCTCACTACCCAAACCATAAGGAATTTATTCTTTATAAGGATGTAGCGAAGTTAAGAGATTGCTAAATCTCAATATTATCACATGTATAATGTACATCAGTGGGCCATAAAACTCAATAAGTTACGTTAAAGCATATCTGGTAAACAGAAAACCCTAGAAGAATATTGTAATAACATAACTACAAGACTATAATAACATAAGTATCCTATTGTCAGTCATTGTGTAAGAAGGAAATTCTTCTACTGTAAATATTCTAATATTAGATATCTACAGTAGTAAAGGAACAAGTAATAGGTTTATTCCATGCTGAAAAGAGAAGAAAGAAAATGTTTCAGCCGTGGAGCCTTCTATTCTCATATTACAGTAATATTCGAATATTAGCAGAATTCTAATATTAGATATTAGAATATTTAGACACCTTTTGGAATTTTGCACCACAGTTCCAGGAAATGTCATTTCCTGTCTTTCCCATGGGTGTAAGGAATATTTCATATTGTCATATCTTTTCTACATCACGTCATACTGTGTCTATGTTTAGTGACCAAAGTAGAATACAGCCCTTAACCACAAAAATCTTACCAAAGATTACCAAATTATGTTCTTAAAATCACAGAAACATGGTAGACAGAGGGAGACACTGGAAACGACAACTTTAATGGACACACAGTGCAGGAAAGATGGAAGAGCTGAGAGTGTGGTGCAGACTTTCAGTGCGTGTGAACTGATCTAGTCTTTCAAAACAATCTTAGCAAAACTACTGTTGAGAGAACCATTAGTGAACTGTGGTCACAGTATAATTACTTTCAAATATAGATTCAAATTATATTTGAGTCCAAGACAAAGGATTTTCTTTTCAACAAAAGAGACCAATGAAGGAAAAAGAGTAGAATTGGATCTATGCATAGATGTACTGTATATACAGTATATAGAAGAACATGAATTATCCTACCCAAGACTAAGACAATAAAAGTAAAAAGGCAATGGACACATTTTATCAATCATTTAAGAAAAATACAAGGAAAAAGGAATACACTGCTTCTAAATATCTAGATGAATACAAGTTTCGAATAAAGAAAATAAGTTGCAAATACAGACTAAAGGGTGGCCATGAGAGAGTTGAGAGGTGGCCATGAGAAAATCTTGCAATGGGGACTCAAATAATAAATTATTATTTTTTTAAAAATCGACCTGTTAAGGATGACACAAAAGGTCTGTGATATAATATAGTATTGTTTTAAAAGAGGAAAAGGAAATTGCTGATGTATTAAACTAATATATTATGCAGGTATCTATCGAGGAGGAAATTGACAAGATGCTACTGGCTGAAGAAAGCTGTAGATTAAATACTTCCTCATTACACAATGCTAATATCGGTTGAGGATGGGGAAGGGAGCTGGGCGCCCCACCTCATTACATTGTCCTAAGATCAGCTCACTGGCCTCACTGCTCTCCAGCTGGAATCTGATACAGGATCCATTAATGGATGGATAGATGAATATTGCCATCCAGATTTAATCATAACCTAAACTCATCGGAAGACACAACTTACACAAATTTGACTTTACATGAAAGTGGGTCACGTAACTTTCAAGAACAGATTATATTACAAGTGTGAAGAGCAAGCAGTGTGTCAAGTGGATAAATATTTTGGAGTGACTGTAATGAATGCAGTCTCCACCAACATCCTCCAGGGCTCTGACTGTACACTTCAGTCCCACATAATTCAGACTTTCGGAGACACAGGCCACACACTCACAGCCCACTCAGTATTGATGGAATGGAAGTGGAAACAGTCACCAGCTTTAGGTTTTTGGGAATTCACATCTCTAAAGATCTAACCTGGACTGTGAACACTGACTCTATCATGAAGAAGGCTCAGCAGCTCCTTTATTTCTTGAGGTGCCTCAAGCGATGGGGGATGCCAATACATGTGTTGGTGAACTACCGCTGCACTATCGAGAGCATCCTCACCAACGGGATCACCGTGTGGTATGGCAACACCTCTTCGCGAGAAAGAAAGGCACTGTAGAGAATGGTCAATATGGCCCAGAAGATCATCGGCTGCGGTCTCACCGAGATTTAACAGCTCTATGAGGACCGCTGCCGTGGTAGAATTCTGGCCATCACAGAGGA